GCCATCAGACATGCCCGGGTGTGTCAGTGAACCCGGGGCAGACATGGGCTTCATCATGGTTTTAACAGCTGAGCTGGCACGGCTGCTCGTCCTGTGAGGCGAGCTGAAACGGAACGACAGCTCGTTTTCAGGCTCGGCGCTTGAGAAGGGAACTTCGGCGTCTTCTTGCGGCCCCAGTGCTTCCTTTTCGTCTGCATTTTTACATGGAGAGAAGGGCTTGTCTTCAAAGCCTCCATCAACAGCCTCCTCATCTAAAGGCAGCAAAGGCTCGCCGAGAATCTTCCTGGGGCTGGGTCGTTTGATTTCCCGTTTGTTCTCAGCATCCTTATCCTGAAGCTCACGCAGCCTGTGCAGCATCAAAGGCACCTGTAAAAGTAAAGCACAAATAACAACCAAATGGACCCTTACTAATCCTTATGAACAAACTGTGGGGCAAAATATCATTTGTCTTTCACTATAAACTTCTGAATTATGCATCAATACAAAGTGACATAAGAGACTGGGGACACCCCCTACTGACCAAAACAGAGTTCTCCTCTCTGTAGTTGGCAGCAATGTCCTGGTTCTCCATGGCGCCTGCCAACAGGCCTGTGGCATAGATTCGTAGAGGCTGTTCGGCCTCCTGAGCCCACTTAAAAAGTCTTTCAACGATGCCCTCCTGAAAAAAAAAAAAGACGCACGCAATATGGTGAATAATACATAAACTTAAGAAGATCAACAGAATGAATCAGAGAAAATACAAAGCACTATGTTTGATTGTATATGTGATGTCTGAAGTGTTTTTGTGAAATAACTAAACGGCGATAGAGGAATAGCAGTCCCTCCCGACAGAGGATAGTGGATGACCCTCCATATATTCTCTACACAGAATGCAGCAATCTTGTAGACGACATGAAGCTCATCAAAGCGAGCAGTTTACGAGTCTCCATCAAATTCTTAAACAAAGCTGCTTAAATCAAATACAAACAGCAATAGCTCAAAGTGTTTGTGTATTGGGTGTGTGTAATACATTTTATGTCTGATCCTCTAATGTTTACTGCAGAAAGAGGGGTCAGTGTACAACTCCAAGGTGAAAACAAGGGGAATAGATGGGGGCACATTTATGAAGAATGGCAAAAAAAACAAAAAACTGGATAACCAACATGCCATGATGTTCCTAAAGAACACAGTGGAGTGCTGATTATACAGTTATTTGCTTGTTTTTTTGTTGTTGTTTTTTTTAATCAGTGTTTATTGCAAACTGCTGTGAGGTGAGATGATGTCATCTCTTGCAAGTTTGTGTTGATGTAAAAGTATCAAAATGCACAGGGTACAATCCACAACATAATTTCCTATGGGGACAGTGAATTATATTTTCATTTATTCTAGATTTGATGCAAAAACTAAAAAACAAAGTCTGACATCAGTTTTGTACCAACTTTGATAACCAGCAATTTAAGATAACTTTCTCTAACTAGGTCTCCAATAAACTGAATTAACATTAAGAGGTTGCTTTGATCTCAAGATCACAATCTTTAATTTTTCATAGAAATTCACAAATCTAGACAATAATCAAATCACAATAAATGGAAGAAGTAGTAATGCAAAGCTTTCGGACACTAATATACAGCTAAATTATTTTATATGTCTGCTTTTAAGACTTCTATGTCAATTTATTTTCCTAACTTGTTGAGGTAGTAAGTTAAAAGGAAAAGGGAAATGAAATGCAATGGTTTAACAGTCACAATTCTACAAAATGTAACTTTTCAAGCAAAATAGAGGCAGTAAAATACATTATCCTGGGGTCTGGCAAATCCTGGAATTCAACTAAGAGAGTATAAATTAAAAGAATCAGAAGGGCCAGTACTAAAAATTATTCATAAAATGTATTGACTTTGATTGCTCTCAATCTCACCATCTAAAAATAGGCAAAAACACCCAAAACAGTATAAAAATAAGTACAGGATTGTTTTTCATGAGGTTTTACATTTTCTGGATAGCCGAAATAATCTGAGAAGCGTCAGCGACGCAATCATGAACTGATTAGCAATAACAGCTGCCACAGTATTATGCTACTTCCTGTTTCCAACTGTCAGTTTGATGGAGCAGTAACACAATTAAAAAGACTTGTTGTTAGTTTGAGTGAACTGAAATGTTTAAAAGTTCAGCAAAATATGAAAAAAAATACACCACAAACATACGCATACACAAGCGCACACACACACACAATGAGGGTAGATGTACTTTACCTTTTCTTGAAAGACCACGGCTGTCTCCAGCCCAGGCATGATGTTCTGCAGCAGGCGACAAGCTGCAGCATTTAGAGCAAATTCTCTGCTGGTCATCACATAGCTGTTCACCAACTATTAAAGGAAGCATTTACTTTGTTTTAAATTAACTTCTAACCAAGATACTAAATACAGTTAAATATGGCTCACGAAGATAACTCAAAACTACTGATTAATGCTTACTGTATTCATGAATTCATCATTTTTGAACAAGATCTTCAGAAGATGCCCCAACATGCCTTCTGGATCAGCTCTCCCTAGTGGCCAAGAGAGGTATGTCAAAAATATGCAGAATATTTAAATCCGTGGAGGACTTGCAGTTACGAAATCTGTTTTCCTCTTTCTCATACCAGGATGCCGATCATCAAAAGGGTCAGGGTCCGCTTTGTGGTACTCTTCCGTCTCCTTTTCAACAAGCTCCGAGATTCTAAAGGTCAACAGAAGTCCACCTTAAACACTCTTAAAGACCCTTTAATTCATTCTAACAGTATTACAGCTCATCACATACATCAGACACAAGCCGACTACTTACTTTGTGAGGATGTTGACCAGCTCCTGTGTGTTGCCTTGCTGCTCCCTCTCCCACTGTTCCAGCAGAGCAGTCAGCTCTGCCTTTGAGTCCACGGAGGCAGATGCTGACGCCATGGTGACGCAACCTGCAAGGACAAAATGTGCTCAAAACATGTAAAATACCAGAAATATGTATTTAAAGTGCATTGTACGTTACAGCAGAACAGAGAACAGGAAAGAACTTTATTCCCATGTTATATTCTCTTTGCTGGTTCATTTGGACAAGTTTCCAGGTCATACTGAGATTCCAGGGACTGATGCAAACTTTTTAGAAACAGTCTTCCCTACAACTGATAATTCAGCCTATAGTAAAATTTAAATATTGAGCTAATTTGAGCTACAATGAAAATGCTGATTCTCCTTACTACCCGATGCCCTCAAAACCAGTTACCTTATAACTCTGACTGTAATGGAAAAATCTCACATTAGAACAAATAAAGAAAACACATGGGTTAGTTAATGAGTGGCTAACTAGAGGGAGGTTCAAAGATAACCAGCTCAATGATCTGCGCAAATTACAATGAGAAAAGGTAACCCAGCAGAAAATGTCGGACAAGCTTTCTTGTGGTTGCTGTTCTTTTCACATTTTCAAGAAATACCCTTTCACAGTAGCTCATCTGCTGTGCAACTACCCCTTACTTCAATTTCCAAAAAGGACTGAGATGCCCTTTTTCCGCTTGGCAGTCGAGACACTCTCCACTCTTGGTCTCTGCACTTGTGTTTTTACACGCTTTTTTAAATCTCCTCTCACTTCCTGTTTTTGGTCATGCATGTTGTCCCAGAGCTGAACATTTCTTATCAGGAATTACTGTTTTCACATAACCTGCTCAAAGTTCATCTGCTGTTCTCTAACAGTGATCTTGGTGGAGGTTTCTACTCAGCGCTACTCAATTTGATGCTGAAAACGCGAAGGTTACATAAACACAACAGAACATGTTGACGGTCTCACAGGAAGTTCTGCCAGCTGATGTTTGCAAACCAAAAACAGACGCAGCTGATCCGCTCTTCTGCTGCAGGTGCGGCAGTTCTCTTGGGAACACAACCGTCAAATTTTGTCAATTTCGCCTCTTTTCTTAAAATATCAATTAAGTAAGAACTATACTATACAATAATTATGAAACAACAGTCCGAATGCGTGCCATGTATCTCTGTGTATTGTTTAACGAGGTACTGTTTACTTACAACGCAGCAGGCAGCTGGAAACGCCGCTCACTACTGCGATGTTTGGCTACTTGAAAAGTGGCTAAACAAGAGAGCTAACCTCATTATTGTTACAACCACACTTTCAAATCACAACTTTAGCATTCCGTCACAGCTCTGTGACTCCTCGGAACGTGCAGCTTATTTCACAGAATCTACAGAATATAAGGACCGGTCAAATCTGCCTGCAATGGCACACACACGGCATTACAAGGTACTAGCAAAAACCTGGCTATTTAGCCAGCATGCTAACTTTACCTCGTTTTTCCTCTCTGTTCTTGCTTCGTTTGCAAAGTTACACCGAGACTTAAATCCACCGACACAAGCCCCAACTTAATTATGGTTTGCCGAATCTCAGCGCATCGACAGCCGTCTCTCAGGCACTGCTTTATATATTTTCACTGTAGCTTTGAGTGCACGGTTTGTTAGCATGATAGCGAACACGTTCTTCGCGTCATTTCACAGGCGACTGTCCACCGTTAATGACGAATAGTGATGGGAATTTCTGCTCTTTTCCGAGAGCCGGCTCTTGTGGCTCGTCTCCCAAAGAAGACCGGGTGTTCTTTCGGCTCCCAAACGGCTCTTTATCATCGCCAGCCTCGTATTTCAGTATAACTTGGGAAATAGAGATGTTTTGCATGACAAATCCTTTTTACATTCAATGAAGCCTTATAATTCCTTGATATTATGCATTTGCTCTGCTACAAAAGTACACATTATTACTTTGGTATATTTTAATCAAAAACAAATGAACATTGCAAACACATCTACCAAAGACCCATAATAGTAACATTATTTTTTTCTCTTTCATTCTCTCTCTCCACTTCTCCTATGGTATGCTGTTCATTGCACTGCTGTGTTTGCAACCCCGCCCCTCATAATGAAAAAACGGCTCTCAGTGAAGAGCCGGCTCTAATAGCCGAAACGTTCACGACCGACCCCATCACTAATGTCGACACAATGTTGCAAAAATAGCCTTTATTTTAATGCAAGAATTTTAATATAAGCGTCACAATATTTTCTTACAAACAGAATTTTCATGTTACATGAAATACATTGTTGTAAAATACTTGCATAATGTTTAATGGAAATCTCTACATTTAGAATACATGTGCCAGTTACTGTTACAGACTAAATTGAAATGGATATTAAATGTGAATTGCTTCATAAAGATCCATCGATTTACATAAATGCAAAGTAATGCAGATTAAATCTTATTTTTTCTCCAATAAAGTGGTGTTCTTCATTTATTTTACAACAAATTCTATCATAAACAAAAGTAGAAGACAATCTGTTAAATCCATCCAAACAACAAAACACGGACAACATAAAGATTAACATGCAATATCTCCATGAATTTGTACTTTGCTGGGGTGGGAAAAAAAGACAAAACAGATACTTTCCCAGTGCACCTCATAGTGGTCTTTTTCTTAAATTGCCTCACTTTGTAATGTCAGCGCAGGTGGTTTCAAAACCTTTAAACTCGTAGATATCATTAAGAGTAATAGTGTCATTACACATTTGTATCAACATTAATACTGTCTTCTGCATGGTGCGCAGATAACAAAATGGTCCCTTTAACCTGGAAGCAAATATATTTTGTCAATTTCTAACAAAGACACAAAATTATGGATTTGTTAAATTACCAGATTGCCTAATTTCAACTTTGATAAACTTTGACGAGGTGATGCAGCTGGTCCACAACTGCTGCCTCAGTTGACGCTTTTTCCAAATTATTTAGTTGACAACAGTAATTTGACTCCCTATTCAAAAATGTCTCATCTATGTTTTAAAGGATTTTGTAAATAGTTGATTTCTTAATTTTGTTTATATAATCAGAATGCTATGTTCATCTCAGTTACATTACAGAGCAGCAGCAGGTAGCAGGATAGTCATCCGTATGAACTTTGAACTCATTTCCGTACACAAAGTAGACATATGTTTTTCCTTTCCATGTGTAGGTGACCTTTGTGATGGGGATCAATTCAATGGTTTGACGCTGCAGACAAAAAAGAAAAAACAAAACAAAACAAAAAAACAAATGTGAACCTTTTGTATGGCAACAAACCTCCATTATGTGATAACATCTTTGAATACCTGTTGTAGAATACGTGACGTCCGTGAGAACTTGCCCTGATGATCCCCAACAAGGCGCTGTGCAGCCTGCACTATCATAGGGTCTGGGAAGCCCATGACTGGATACACCTGTAGAGGGTATTAAATAAATATTTTTGAAGTGGTGTCACTGTTTAAGGGGCATGCACAGACATTTGTCAATGTAAGTGAAGGAAATGCATTCAGTTATGCTTCAAGAGCTCCTGGTGGTTTCCACCACTCTCACACAGGATGCAGTCAGTCTCGTTGCGAGAAGCTGTTTGACAACTTGTTTTTCACAGTTTTGGGACAATTGCTGCATGTAAAAAATACATGACTTACATGGCCTTAGCTCTAAAAGGGTACAGTCTGTGTCTAATATTTAAAATTTTGTTGGTTTACCCTATAGACATATGGTTAAGATAAAAATAAATAGTGCACTGTGGTGTCTACAGTGAAAAACGTATTTGCCTCACTTTGTTTATTCTGCTTTTGCCTGTTAACAGACTTCCAGGTTCTAGAGCAGGGATGGGCAACTCCAGGCCTCGAAGGCCGGACACCTTTAACTTTTAGATGTGTCTCTACTTCAACACACCTGAGTCAAATAATGAGGTTGTTAGCAGGACTCTGGAGAACTGGACTGCACTTAGGAGGTGATTCAGCAGTTGGATTCAAGTGCATTGGACCAGGGAGACATCTAAGAGTTGCAGGACACAGGCCCTCGAGGACCAGGATTGCCCACCCCTGTTCTAGAGCAAACTAATGTTATCAGTAAAAACAAAAACAAAAAAAGAGAAAATACAAAATGCACAATTGCTGCAATGCATTTGTATTTATTTTACATTGCTGCGAAGGCATTTTGACACACCCATTAATGTAGAACTATTTTCATTTAGCCAGTTTTTGCAGGATTTTTGAGGATGAGCAAACTGTAAGGTCATGTCACAGAAACACAATTGGAAATAAGTCTGGACTTGGACTAGGCCACTCTAAAACATCAATTTTCTTTTAGCCATTCAGAGGTGAATATATATATATATATATATATATATATATATAGTAAATAAAATAAAATAACCACTACATGCTTTTCAACTTTAACCAACTTAACCATGTCAGTATTGCCATTTCCATCGAGTTAGCTATGTACACAAGCATGTAATGAGGAAAGAGAAACAGAGGGGACCTCCAGGAAAATAGATAGACAGACAGACAGACAGATAAAAGTAAACAAATGCTAATAATGGTAGTTAATCTTGTATAGAGGGAAAGTTAAATTGTCTTGAAAGCACAGGGAGTTAATACGTTTTAATAGTACTATAACAACATCCATCAATGAAAAGATTAATTTATATCAGGCAACAATTTCACCTCTTTCTAAAGACCTAAATATATAATGTTGCCATATTTTTTTTTTTACAAAAACAAAATAAAAAGGAGAATTTACCAAGTACTGAGAGTCCCTGAAGAGCTCCTTGCCTGACACTTGACTAAGGTTTGACACCTGAAGACCGCTCGATTGTTCAACAACATAATTGTCAGAGTTGTTTGTCCTGCAAGCACAAACACAACTGATCACTTTACAACATCTTCAGATGCTGGAACCACCTCAGCAAACTCCTTCTAATATAGAGGAGCCTTCTGTAGGCCCCCATCACCAAGGCTGAGCTTGGTCACCTTACAAAGCTACTTCTACATAGAATCTCATGTTTTTTGGTTCTGCTCCCTGCTCTCTCTGAGGGTTAGAATACAAATGGATCAGGAAATCAAGAGCTTTGGTAGATAAACATGGTTAACAATACTCTACCATTTCACAGTGAGGCAGATGAAGACCAAAAGCTGCTGTTTTCCTCGACATGTGGTACATTGCGTTGATCCTTGCCCATGACATTGTGCACAACTGAAACAAAAGAGAAACTTTCAAAATACAAATACAGCATTCAGCAGAGTTCTTTAAATATTCCCCATTGTCGTAAAGTCTTTAGGAATAAAATGCATACTTTTCCCTCCCTCTTCCGCTGCAGTGATGGCATCGATCATCTCCATGACGAAAACCAGATCCATTACACACCCAACACACTTTCTGTTGAAGAAAAAAAAAAGGGAAGAGAGACACTTTTGATTTTATCACACTAAAGAACTTCCAATATTTCCTAACTGAGTAGAAAATACTTACATTACCAGAGCCTGCACAGTCTTTGCATGGTTTCTTCCCCATTCCCACACAATCATGGCAAGGCTAGAACAACAGAATAAACAACACACGTGTTTGTCATTTAGAAACATACATCAGGTAGAGTATATTCAGAATGAAGCTAGGTTGTGTAATAAAATATTATTTTGATAATTAGTGAAACACCGAGTCAATCAGAGAAATGTGTATTTGTCTGTTAGGCCTTTATGTAGACAATCAGATTAACAGCAAAATCATGTATCCTCAGAGAGCAGGCTAGAGAGAGTTTAGGGAAGGAAGGAGAGGAAGAAGTTAAACTTAACACAATTCTCTTTAATATCTTCTTCAGTCACATACACAGCAGCTCTGATCCAGCCCCCTCATCTCAGGGAATCTTTTTCTCAGGCTTCTTACAAAGGAATACCTATTGCCCTCAGCCAAAACCCAGTTCAAAGAAGTTTTGCTAAAGAAGAAAAAAAAAAAAAAACTGAAGCCTTCGTTACCATAAGACTAAAGAAAGAATCCAAACATAAAGAATTGTATAAAAATACATGTGTAATGATGTTTACAGGGAAAACTCCCCCCCCCCCCCATCATGCATGATTTGTGTAGCTTACCTTCATAGAAGAGGTGTAGGGAACCTTCATTTTCTGTTCGCCGTCCACAAAAAAAGTGGGTGCTTTGGCCGGAAGGTCCCACGGTCCTGGAGGTTGCTGAACATAGGCGTCCACTGGCTGGCCTGATCAATATTAACAAATATAAACTGTCATATGGGTCAAAACATTATGAATTAACAAAATAAACAGCCCCGAGTATTTAATTAATAATCTGTACACTTTTACACTTATTACATTAACATGGCAGAATGCCACATTGTGAGCTGCAAGAACCCACAGCAGGAATAGTGACAAGCATCTAATGGAAACTTGTGGTTGACCAAGTGTGGTTGGGCAAAAAGGCTTCTTCCTTGTTTCCTGTGTACGTGTACCACTTTTGTGTTGAGTTTGTGTGGTGGTGGTGGTTTAGGTGTAGGCCGTTGGTCCAACTGTCACAGTCACCCTATTATTTTTTTTGAAGACATTAGACATTAGCAGAAACACACCGTGGAATGGCTCATGGCTCCACTCTGTAGATCTGGATTCAGTAAATGTTTCCAGGCGATACTGCAATAAAAAAAAAAAATTAAAAAAAAGAGTAGGAAAAATCTAATGAGCCACAACCGTTCACTTTTATTCAGTTCTCACAGCTTTTTTCAAAACATTTCTAAATCACAAACTCTCTTACCCTGTAAGTATTGAATGACTCCATGTTGATGATAACACCGTCCTTTACTGGCGCAGAACTGTAGCAACATTTGCTGGAAACATACAGGCTAAAGGCATCCCTGGCAGTATCTTCACTTATAGACGGGATACTGCAAGCAAGAAGCAATAATATGCAACATGTCACACACATTGGAATATCTACAAATTAACTAACAGCTGTCTTAAATATCCTAATCCTAATTAAAAGAAGGGGCATGGTGTCAGCATTACTTCCAGTGTGGTTGTTCAGGTCCAGGTGAAGGCTGGGGGACTGGTTGAGCAGGCATGGGAGGTGGAAGAAACCCACCTGTAACAAAAATTAAAAGTCCTTTCAGTGAGGTTTCTTACTTTATTCGGGAAAAGAATATTTGATCTCAGATGTTATTGTCCAAAGCCTCTTGTAAAGGAACAGTTTTCATCTACCTGGACTGTATTACTGTTTCTAAATCTCCAAAAGTGTTTGTGAATAAGCATAAACGGATATGCTTATTCACATAATTGTGAATCAACCATTACTCTTTGGTGTTATTTCACTTCAAGTTATATCCAAGACTTTTATTGCTGAATACATTTAACTACCAGTAAATTCAATAATCGGGTCACATTGTATTAATAGACTGTCTGCAGATTGCTTATTTTTTATGAGTCACCACCAAAAAGGCAAACAGTTGAAAAAGCAGTAACATATCCTATTTTTTTATTTATTTATTTTTTTATTTTTTTTGCAATTATTAATGTGTGAAATTGGCAGGATAAGCCTCAGTTCCTCCATGGTATTCGTCAAGAAAGTTTTGGACTGCTCCCTCCAGTGTGCATACAGTTACAAACAGTTGCTACTGTCTTTATCTTATCTTAAGGAGAGATAAGGAGGGGGGGATAAGATAAGATAGGATAAGATAAAGATAATAGATCTTCTTGTAAAAAATGTATTGTATTGTGAATGGAAATTAGATGGTGATGGGGATGTACTGCCAATCTGACATTTGTGTTTTTATGTTGTTGTTTTTTTTCTTTTTTTGTGTGTTTGTTTTGTTGTTGTTGTTTTTTGTTTGTTTGTTTTTATGTATTTATGACTATTGTCCTTTTTGGGTGTGCTGTTTTCATTGTCGTATTGCAGTTTAGCCATTGCTTCCTAAACAAATTTCTCCTTTGGGAGACTAATAAATAATTGTACCTTAACTTAAGTAAAAAGTGTTGGCATTAACCTCCAGAAAAAGAATTAAAGCATCTTAATCTTGAGCGATGGTATGCATGGATGGTTAGGGTCTCATCTTGTCTAATGCCGACACAGTTGTACTCTGTCGCAGTAACAAAACACCAAAGCCAAACAGCATTACTCTTATTTGACTGATATATCCGCATTCTAATACCGACCTTTGACCGTAAGATATGGATCAAGACCGAAAGAACAAGATTAAAGATACGAGTTTCTGAAATCACCCAGCCTAACCCTACAGGTCAGATAAGGTCAGGAGCTCACTCATCCAGTGGCACACCTTGGAGTACAGCCAATGCTGAACATTGTTATGACTTGTTAGGATTGTCTATAGAATTAATTTCTACAAGTTTGCCATGCTGTTTCTAATGTAAAATATACATTTTAACCGTTTTTTTCTTTAAAGAAAAAAAAAGGTCATCAAGCTCTTGCCCTGTGGTATCAGCTGTTCATTTTTGTCTTTCAGACAGACAAGATTAGCATTTTTCATTTGGTTAGTATAAATTTTCTACAGTTTTCTCAGCAGTTATGTTGTTTTAATGTTAAACTGATGAAAAAACGGCCAACTCCTTTTCTTTGCTCTGTTATGTTCTTTTGCTGCTTTCTTTTTATGCATCATCACCAGCAATTGAGACTATCACTCTTTTGATCTCTCTCTTTAGTCTGACCCTTTAATTCTGTTTTTAACCATTTCTCTTTCCTAAACAGCCACTGGCATAACTTTTTTGTCTGCTAGTACTATGTCATTAACTATATTAAGCTTATTTGCAGTCCCTACAATTGTATTGCTGGCTCAGAGCTTCTTAGTGTAATCACGTTTCTTTCCTAAACTGGACCTCAAAAAGAGTAATTGGTCTTTTAATTTGAAGGTATTTTTATTTCAGAACTCCTCTGTGAAAAATTTGGAATTGAAGAAAGGTATTGGTATATTTGTACCCGATGTAGATGTGCTTATAGTGTGAAGTGCATTGACATAAGATTTCTTTTGACCTGGCACCAATTAAAAAACATAAATCTTAATCATCTGTAATTAAACATATTGTGTTACTATGTACATCTCGTGTTGTTTTTACTTTAAAACTCTTGTTTATGAATTATGAACAATGGGTTAGTGGGTTGGTATATCTTACTGTACCTCCTCCCGCCATCGTCCCTTCATATCCAGGCATGTTGTCAAACATACCGGCCGGAGGAGCGCTAGGGCCCGGATGCTCCTCCACGGGTGGGGCAAACATTGCTAAATCAAAAACAGGAACAACCAGTCCAGTCAGAAACAGATGCAAACTTTGAAATATGATTTAAATTGTTGTTGCTTTTTAAGGTTTAAGGTCAGCAAAAGGGGAGTCAGGTGGCCATTTAACCCAAGTCAGCAAAAGCCATAGAGCTTGAGATTTTCAAATGAATACATGTTCCTTCATGTCAAAATCCTCAGACGCTGTGACTTACCGTGCCCTTCTGTTATGGTGTACATCCGACAGATTTCCGAAACCCAAAGCCTGATTTATCTGAAGCTTCCTGGTTAATCTTAATCCCTCAGTCTGTAAATATAAGTGAGAAACTCGAAGCTCTGAAATTTCAGCAATTCCAAAAATATGGATTTGCTGATTCCATCTTTCAGTCAAATGTCTGTAAATATGAGGGAGAAACTCGAAGCTCTGAAATTTAAGCAACTGCAAAAAAATGTTGCCACCCATCTCCAGATGTTACGTCACCGGAGGGACCTAAGTTACTACGCAGAACTCACCCATAAAAAAAAAAAAAAAAAAAAAAAAAACTCCAAAACTCGTTTTGTGCTCAGGGTGTAGTTGAAACACGGGTTTGTAGGAGGTCATACCTGCTGGCCCCACTGCTGCTGGTATGTAACCTGGGTTGGCAACGCCGTGATTTTGGTGCTGACCATGGCTGAAACGCGTTGCGGTAAAACGAAAAGTTAAGCAGCAGTTTATAACTTTTGCTCTAAATCGAAAGCATGAAGCGACCCTCACCTCGTTAAACGCTGATAATCCATTTTGCGAGAGCACGGTGACAACTGGATTTTTGACCGATATTCTCTCTGGATTTCTTTTCCTGTCTCACCCAGCTGTCTGCTTGTTGGTTCCCCTCCTTTATTCGCCCCTAACTATTACTGCGGCAGTGACGGGACCTGATGTCCGGATGCTTCGCAATACAGAGAAAGTTCAGCAACCTAAGTCCAGGATCCGAAGTCTTTTTGAGTGGAGCTTGAAGCGAACGGAGATATTTGGGTGGGATTTGTATTGTTTTTTTTTTTTGTTTGTTTGTTCGTTTGTTTTTTAAGTTATTTTACTAATATATAGTTATTTTTAAGGGTTTATTTATGCTTTGGCAACTAGGTTTTTCCTTAAGAGACCGACAATAAAAACTAAACTGATTTTCATTTCAAAATAAAAGCACTGACGTATGAGATATTTGCATGTATTCGCATATTTGAAGTGATAACATACAAAATAATAGGCGAAGAAAAACATTTAAGATTTAAGCAGCCCTCGATTTACCAGCTTAACATGGGTTAACTATAGTCATTATTGAGCTAACATTATGCACGTAACAGGAATCCTCGATTTACACGGTTTGTTTGAAAGAAATTTGTACAGTTTATTTATTTATTTATTTTTTATTTTTTTTGCATTTGACTGTGATACACCGTGCAGCACTGCACGTTTCCAGCCGGTGTTATCCACAAAAATAACAGGTGTGGCAAAAATGTAGGTGTACGCTCATGCTGCGTTTGAAGACGTCTCAGACAAACACGGTATCGCTTCTTAACTACAGATTAAACAGTTGTAGCGACTGAAAAATGTAAGGCGCACAGATAGAGGAAGTGTGGGGAGCATCCATGTATTCTGTAGGGCCACGATTAGTTCGACATGGACACTGGCCCTTATCTAACTGACCTGATCCAAATGAAGCTTTGTGGGTTTATCTATAAGTAATACGTCCCGCAGCCGAAGCTGTAAACTGAAATCTTGATGTAACTGTTAATTTATTGTGTGAGCGGCCCGAAGATTGCTGAATTCTCAACACAATCACGTGGCCACTCAAAAGGAGATGTGACGTCACCGGAAACGAAAGTTATGGTGACCTGTTAAATTAATTTAAAAAAGACAAATGCACCGAATGAAGTCGAAATTCAAGTTCGTAGCTCATAACCTACCCGCTGCTCCTGGCGCGGCTGGCATGTAACCGGGATTGGCGATGCCATAATTCTTGTACTGCTCACCACTGAAATGAGAAAAATGAAACTAAAATTTAAGCAACAGAGTACTGTGAAATAATAATAATTTAAAAAAAAAAATACACAAACAATACTTGCCTCATTATAGGCTGAGACTCCATCTTTCGGTCCTTCGTCCGGCGGCTGAAACAGGAAAAAATAAACAGCGTCCTAACAAGAGCTGTGACCTACTCCCGATGAGGAAATGTCGGACAACTCATCGTCATGTGACAACAAAATGATTTACCTTTAATCACACAACACCGTTTCCCACAGCTACCGCCCCTTAAATCTGGCACAAAAATAGTAACTTTTATTAAGGAAATCTGTGAAGTGAAAAGGTGCACATACCAGTCTTCACATCTGATCAGGAAGTGTAATGAACCATAATGAACCATATATGTCGAAAGAGGCCGACAGGGAGATACATCTTAGAAATCCTTCTCTCAATGATTAACAAAAAGTTTGTTCATGCAGATAAAAGATATCAAGCCAAATACATTGTTACAATTCGACAACAGGAAATTCCAGCGGCAGCTAAATTCAGTGTAGTATCTCAGATTTTTTTTTTTGTCCAGTGGTTTAGCCTGTGGGACACCACATGGAAATGAAAAGTTATGAAATCCAAGCAATCTGCACATCTTCACACAATGACTGAACCAGGGGCTTCTCAGCTACAAGACATCAAACTCATAAAAGCAGAAAGAGCTGGAGCTCACCCAGCGATCAGTTTTCAGCTTTAAACTTCATGAAGACAAAAAAAGGTATGTCAGTTGCAACCAGGTCAAATTTTACATGACCCATTAGCATGTCCGGACGATTGAAAAGGCACTCTGTGATCCATTGTGTAATATTGCTGAACTCTAAGGGGCTTATGATGATGATGATGAAGTTGGTATCTGATCTGATTTTTATGATTCTGCCTAAATTAAAAGCTTTTGTTTTGTTATTCTTCAGGGAGTCTGGAAAAACATTTGACCAATTGTAGTTCAAAATCTTACATGTTTAGACTGCTCAGACATTCTGGATTGTATACTGAACAGATTTTTTTTAAACACAGTTTAAAATAATTCTGTTAGTCAAAACAGAGACAAAAACAATTTTTCAATAACAAATACTATAAATAAGATCTTGAGATCTGTGGAAAAGATATTTAGTGTTGTCAAAAATATTACTGAAATCCATAGTTTCACTAAATTAAATATATATTTTTTTCTATGGGCTTTGTCAGGAGAGTGGGTTTTTACATTAAGTTGTGTGGTGCACCACTGAAACATCAATTCCAAAGCTAACATTTTGTTAACATTTAATAAAAATATTAAAATTAGCAACATTGAAAGTCATGCATCTATTAATATAACCTTCTTAATACCTCACATACTGAAATGTTCACACCAATTATGTACCTTACAGCCACTGTTGAACAAAGCAAATAACACTGACACAGACAGTTGTGTGCATGTTAATTTACAATTCATATTTCACTTAATATTGAGATTTCTTCTTATTTTAATGCTCTGATTAGTGTTCTCCAGACAGGACATTATGTTCCCCTGAGAAAAGGGCAATGGATCCCACTGAACATACAGAACTCTAACTGGCACAGACATTATGGTGACACAAATAAAGGGAAGTAGAGAAAGAACAAATGAATCTTTTCTTGTGATGCAGGGAAGCTTTAATGGACTGTTAATGTCAAAATGAGAATGAATGAAACAGAAGTAAAAGCAAAAGGCAGAAGTCAAAAAATAAAAGTAAGAGTCTATTTAAAAACAACTAATCAAATTTTAAATCAACACCTTGGAGTCTTTCAGATCCAACACTGGCTTACAGTTGTTCATCCTGCAGACTTCCACAGGAGCCCACCACAGAGGAGGAACTAAAAATGGAACTGAAATGTCCACTGGATGACACACACGTTTACCTGCACAACCCAGACTGATATTATTGCGTTAATTATGATAATCAGTGAGGAACTTCTGATTTGACAATGTGAACTGCTGTGACAATTGTCACTGTTGTCAATCTCAAAGTCTTGGCTGAATGTCTAACCGCCAATGGCTCACAGATATCACTTTGTATTGGTGCGCTGCTTTGGATCAGATGTTTGACGGATTAGGGATCAGAGGACTGTCTCTCCTATAAAGAGTAATTTGATGTAAAGCAAGTTGAGGTACTGACTGGCTCAGTCAAACAGAAGCCAATCCGTGATAATGTACCCGAACAATCTTACGATTTTAGCTGATTAGCCAAAGATATTATTATCTGAGGTGAAACATACAATATAGCTGTTTGACCGGACTGTTGATATGGAGGCTCTCCATAATGGTTTGACAAATTATTTGAAAATGAAACGTTTATGTGCCGAAAAGAGTTTACTGTTCTTCACAGAAAAATACATTACCCATAAGGCATTGCCAGATTTGCGGAAGTCCTTTTCTTTCTTTCCGCCGTCGCCGAAGTCCCTTTTGGATTTAGATCGGCGGGTGAGTTGAGAGAATCTAACTTAATCCTCATGAATTTCGCCATCATCGTATTAACCAGATGTTGATAATTTGTTATTGACCTCCATCATTTACAGGATGGATCATATTAGCAGTAGTATCATCGGTTTTGTGTTGAATTTGCCCATACGGAGAGAAGTGTTGCTGTTGAAGTGGCTGTCCGGCTAGCACCCAGCCAAGGCCAACTTGTAGCATGGTTTATAGACAACATAAAAAAATATTGCCACATTTAAACACTGTCGATTAAGTATTATTCTGTTGGCCTCATATATACAAAATGTTAAATAAAAGCAGTACGGCCTGCTACACAGCCGAGCAGTCCTTCGTTGTAGCTAGCATGCTAACGTAGATCAACACGTTTAATTTGACTCACGCCGCTGTGATTGTGAACGATTGTAGGTTCGTAGTTTGAAAGCATTTTGCGTTTATTGTAATTTTATTCTTAGTGCTTCTGCAGTGTGCTGTTTGCACGCCGGTCAGTTAACGCTAATAGATGATCATATAAATATACTCCAACACCTGTCCTGAGCTGACGTTTTCTTCTAACCTTGCTTTGAATTGTTTGTCCACAGTCATCATGGCAGCCCTCAGGCCCCTAACAAAACCCAAGATTGTCAAGAAGAGAACCAAGAAGTTCATTCGCCATCAATCTGATAGATATGTTAAGATTAGGGTAAGTGTGGAAGGCAGGTCTTACACAATTTACAATGACCTCTCTTACTAAAGGCAAATTAGTGAGATATATTCTTTGATTTTACTTCTGTTAACAGCAAAACTGGCGCAAGCCCAGAGGTATTGACAACAGGGTTCGCAGGAGGTTCAAGGGTCAGATGCTGATGCCCAACATTGGTTATGGTAGCAACAAGAAAACCAAGTTCATGCTGCCAACCGGGTTCAAGAAGTTCCTGGTGCACAATGTCAAGGAGCTGGAGGTTCTGATGATGAATAACAAGTAAGTTGATCCAGTTTACAAGCTTAGCTGAGAAATGGCAAGGGTTGTTCTGGAATTTTTTTCTTAATATATTAAGATAAACTTAAAGTTTTTACTGTTTGTTTTACACAAAAGGTTTGCAAGGTTTGGTTAAATTAACTAATAATTAGGGAATTTGTTACACAAACTTTATTAGGGGATGATGCTTTAAAGAATTTCTTGTAAGTTGAGGTGGTATGAGATGGTCGTGATGATTTTTGGTAGAAGGCTATATTGCAGAGAAGACCGACCGTCACAGCAAAACTCAGATTATCATGTCTGAAATTTAGTTTCTATCATTGTAGTGTTTTTTATTATTCTTTCTTATGGTCTCAGATTTTTTTCAACAGGTTTAAGTCAGTTCTGTACTAATAATGTGTTTGTGCTATAACATTTTTTGAAATGTTTGTCTTAATTGAAACAAGATTTTATATAACTAGCAAAAAAAAAAAAAAGCAAATCTAAGTTTATTTCAAACATAATAAAAGTTATTAGCTTAAGTCTTACTTTTTAAAGAGCTCTCACATTAGAGTTGTCTGTTAGGTTTGTAATGACCACAAACTTTGTGCAGTTTCCTTATGAGGAATAGGGAGAGTAAAAATACATTTTCATTTGCATATGAGAAGATAAAGTCAAGGTCAGGTCACATGTCTGAACTCGTCCAGATGTTTGCTTGAGAAGGTTCGTCCAGATGTGAAAGTTCCTAATTTAGTTCCCATACCTGCATAGACAATGTTGGATCATATGCATTGCATTCATATAGCATGAGTTCCTAATCCTACATGAATGCAATGTTTATTAATTGTTTGTAATGAAAGCATTGTCCAGCTCAAGATGGAATCCCTCATTTAGTGACAACATTGTCTTTATTTCACTTAAGTAATAAGCAATTTGAGAAATAATTAAAAATTTATATTAACGCTAGTATTAAAAACCAAATAGTTGACCTTTCTATTGATAATTGCTGCATCTAGATATCCAAACTGATTTAAAGCAAATGATTTAATAATTGTCATATAAGGTAAGTTTACAAATTCTGTTATTATAATTTCCTTATTTATTTATTGTTGTAGTTCCCTAAGCCAGATACTAAAGCATTCATAACCACTGTTTATTTGGAAATTCTGCAAATATTGCATTTGTCTCAATTTATGGCAACTCTTATTGTGGAGCAACATCAGAACACGGTGTTGAAATGTTGTCCTGATATTAGCCATTTGGCTTTACACCAGTTTGCTCTTTGCTGAAAGTTTCTCATTAGTATTTCAGCAGTAGATTGTCCTTGTCTTGCACTGTAATCCTCAGTGGTGTGTTTTCTGCTCCTGTAGGACTCACTGTGCTGAGATTGCCCACAACGTCTCTTCCAAGAACAGGAAGCTGATTGTGGAGAGAGCAGCTCAGTTGGCGATCAAGATCACCAACCCCAATGCCAGGCTCAGGAGCGAGGAGAACGAATAAACTGGTTGTTCATAATAAACTCTTTAAAATAAAAAAATGGCTTCTGGACCTGTTGCCTTATTTCTTCTACTGCAGGACTGTTTTGTGGGTTTGCAAGGCAAACAAAGTTTTAAACTAAATTCAGTTTGAAAAGTTATTTTCTCTTAACTCGGATAATTCTTGAATTCTTGTGTGAATGTAAAAGCTCAGCTGTTAAAAATAACGGCTGCATTGCACATAGTAAGAGAGGTAGTCTTTTGTGTGTGCGGCACAAACTAAAGATAAAAGTGGTTTTCTTTGGGCATAGACTAAATGGGTGAGTCAGGTTTAAACAAAAAGGGACTTTATTTTTGAGACTTATGGTTTCCCAAAATTAAAGTCTCTTAATCATTTATTCTCTTTATTAAAAGGCATGGTCACAAAAAAAATAGAAGAAATAAAGACTTGAACTATTTTGATGTTTTAACTTTCTGAAATATGTGACAAAAATATTTAACTTTTACTTTTTTTTCTTTTAGATTTTCCTGTAGTGTGTAGTGACAACAAGCTTAAGATTTTACCATTTTTGGCAATCATAAATTGGTGCTCTTATTGCCTTTTAAAATTATATAGTAGGACATATTTTTCTTTAAATCATTTTTTGAACCCAGCAGGGTGAAATAAGAAATGACACCTGACACAACCTTTAATATCGGTCTTTATTTTTAGGGTAACTGTCACAATAGCGCCAACACTATGTCAAATAAAACTGTGAGAAATGACAGCTACTGAGCTAAACAAGAAGCAACCTTGGAAGGGAAACTATTAAACATGGGTGATGTTATTTTAAGAATAACAGTAAAAAAAAAAAGAAGGTAAAATTTATTTGTTACAATATAAAAACCAAGGTATTTTTGCTTTTAAAAGCATCAATAGTCGGCCTCAGAAAATGTTATTTTTCACATCTCAGAGACACTGGTGTTTTTAGCTCTTATTTGAGTGATTTGTCAGAAGACGTGAGGGATTTGGATTGCTTGTGAAATAAAAACAGATCTGAGAAATTTGTGGGACTCAGACGAGTAAGTTCAAAAGCCATTAAAATCTAAAGATTCATTTTCAAACCTAAAGCTAGAAGCAGAGGCTTCGTTGTCTGTGTCAGCATTAGTTCACCAGAGTGTCGGACAAGCTGTAGTGACGGTACATTTGGAGGGTGAGCAAATCATTAAAACCATTCACCATGTATGCCTGTTTGCTACTTTGATCTATTGATTCTTTTACTCACATTTGACTGCAGGAAAATAAAATTTTAGACAAATGTAACTCAGGTAAATGCAAAAGGCTTTTTTTTTTTTTTTTTCAAATTTCTTTTATTAGGAGAAGAAAAATGTTACCCAAAACAACCAATGCAACCTAAAAACAAAGTATTTTTTCTCTGTGCCATATCAAAGTCCTCAATTGATGGAGAGGAATAAATAGTGTAACTCTTGGAAAGTCCTTTGGTAGAAAACGTATTGCCAAATGGCCGCCAAGGTCCACTGAACATCTCCAAGATTGGGGGTTGTGTGTATCCTTGGATGACATTCGTTGCAGAAATTCACCATCAGATGACATTGTCCTGCATTTGCTCGCTCAGACTGCGCATTGTTTTACAAGGTAGAACGCCGAGTCCCTGCAGAGAAGGTTTCCATTGCATTCTGGCAGGCAAGCTGTGCCCCACAGCCGTGAACTCTCTGCCATCTGCTCCTGCAAAGCTGACATTGCCAGAGATGTAAAAACACAACATTTAGTCCGCCGGTCGGCTTATAGCTGCTTAGGTTAGGAAGAAACAGACTCAAAAAGGTTGGGAGGGGGCAAGTGGGGGGGAAACAGAGCGTTGCCCTGTTTGAGAACCTGCACCTGTTTGAGAAAGACTCACCTGACGGGACTGGATGTTCTCCAGAAAAGGAAAGGAGAGCACGTGAGCAGCAGGGCAGGCACAGGCTGCAAAGCAAGGAGTAGGACAAAATCCTGTTTTTGTTGTTGTTTTTGTTTTGATGGGTCAGAAAATGAATATGTCAGCAAGGGCAATGTTTGGAAAAGGGCACCTCGACCCCAAACAGCTTTCATTCGCCTTTCCTCAGACAGATTCCCTGAGGAAAGGCAGCCGGTGTGCTGGAGGAAGGAGGAAGATGTTCTCTTTTTCACTCAGATGTCGACTGGGCATCATCAGAGGGAGAACCAAAGGTAAAACAGATGGGGAAGCTTTACCTGTAGAAAATTGCTGTTAAATCGTCACGATGATTTAACTAGTTTGTGTGTATTTTTATAGATTGGTGACGTTTCTTTGCATGATTGTAACCTGGGATTTACCACTTTAAATGTTATTAGGTTGTTTTTGAGCTTCAGGTGATTTTATTATTATTATTTTTTTTACCCTGCGGCTTCCATCTGCAGCTGGAGCTGGCCGCCATAAGATGGCAGTGTGGTTGGTTTGATCAGGGGAAACCAGAGATTGCATCAATCGTAACTAGAGCATCAATTCAAAGTAAAAATGTTAACTGATTAGGGATAAATTACGCTGCAGTATTTTTCACCTCAGGTTTTGCTCCTACTATAGATTGAGTTTAATCAACTTCCTCTTTGTGAATCAATGCTATTTGTTCCTAGAGGATGTTTCTTTTCTTTTGTCCAACACTGTTTCATCTCACATTTCTTATTATCCTGCAGGAAATTAATTAGTTTCGCTCGAAAAGCCTACACTCACACCCACTGTAAATGGGGTATTAAGGACAACTGCCTCTAAGGAAATTGTCTAGCTAATGTGTACTGTGTCCACTGGAACGTCTGCGAATTATGCTGCTGGTTCTTTGTGATCACTTACAAAAACTGTTAAAGAAAAAAAAAGAAAGTGGGACGAAATATTTCCTCAGCGCACAGTCTGAATTTGTTGGTGTTGCATCTTGTGCTGTCATCTAAAATCTCGGTAGGGACAGCACTTTGTCTGCACTGAACCAAAACAAATGAGGCAGCGGAGGTTCAGAGGGGTCGCCCGTGGGGGTCAGGAAGCGGCAGGCGCTGGGACATGTGTGCATGACAAATGACCCCATCTGTGTTTGGGTTCGGAAGCGTCACTGGGTCGAGACTCACCAAGAGGTCATCTAAACCTTCACTCAATGTGGATGCTTTTGATTTTTACAAAGTTGCTCAGGTTTAAGTGTTGCATCTCTTCTCTTTTGGATATGATTTATTTATTTGCCCATGACTGCAATGTGAATCTATCACCAGTGTGGCGGCTGCTTTGTACTTAAAATCAGTCTCTACTACTGCAAGGCATGCAGGCAGCTGTTCGGCACAGGAATTTTGCATATGCATGTGTGTGCGTGTGAGTGAAAGAGTGAGAGAGACACACACCAGGACTGTGAAGATGCACGCTCTATAATGTGGGTACAGGATCTATGTGAGAAAAACGTGACACGGAGTCTGACAGTGAGTGTGCAGGTGGTGTTAATTGTGCCGACAGTTCGGTGTTGTGGTGTGCGCGCCACTGTGTCGTGTCTAATCTCAGTGTGTGAACTGTGCATGTGTGAGAGGGTGGGATTCAGGACTTGGTGGGATAAAGTGTGAGTTTGTGCGTGTCTGTGTGCACAGGGGGAGAGGGGGGCAGTGACTATCGTGTGTGGCTGCCTCACTGAGCCCCTCTGGCAGAGAGAAAGAGAGGATGAGCAACTCCTGAGCAAGAGGGAGAGAGAGAGAAGGGTTATGTGTGTGAGCTCATGTGAGTGTGTGAGCAGGGCATGAGAAAATCTCTGCCAAACCCACGAACCATTTGTAAGAATAGCTGGAAAAACGGGGCCACAGCGAGATGCCAAGAATAGGGCACAAGGCATTCCTCTCCCTGCTAAGGCTTTTCACAAACATCTCAGCTGATCTCAGAGGTTCCACTGGTGAGGACCGCAACGGATTCATCCTGCAAGTTTAAAAAGAAGAAGACTGGGAGACTGTTTGGAGGGACCGCATTAACCTTTCTCTTAACAAGCAGCATGGTTGAAGAAAATGTTGGAAGTGCAGAAGCAGAGATATGTTCCGCATCTCATGTGAGCGCCTGAGACCTGGACTATCAGGTGAAACCTCAACTCTTCACACACTAAGCTGAAGATCAACTTCCAGAGGAGCTGCAGCCATGCTGTGTGGTCTGAGGAGGGACACCAAGAACAGCATTGGTAAGAGGACCCCACTTTGATCTTTAGAGTCTGTAGGAGGTCACTGATCTGTGTTTCGTGAATGAGCGTTCCTCTGCGTCCGTCCGCCCCGCTGCAACGCCTGGTCAGTGACTGATAGACAGGAACAGATTTAGATGTGAGAGGACTGGGCCACCAGCTCGGCATAGCATCTTACTATATGTAATTAGAGCAGAAATAGCAACATAAACCAGATATGGGGCCGCCCACTTTTAAAAATAAAGTTTTACATCTGAAATAAGGATTATGGTTTCAGTGTCATGTCTGGGTTCATATTTAACCCTCGTTCCTGTTAAATATGAGACGGACGTCACGCAGTGCCCTTATTCAAACCAGAAGTTAATTAGCTCTATTTATTTATAAAGGAGGGATCATGCTTCTGCTCAGCCTCTAATTATATAAGCATAACTTGATTCAGCTACAGACTGGCAGACGGATAGATCAGTGCGTTATGCGTTGTTGTTGGGGTTGTGTGTAATCGACCCTGGCTCTCGGGGTGAGTGGTGGTTATTTTAAGCTGGAGGAGGATTGCTGGCCAACAGCTTGATGGTATAGTAACGTTCGGTCACGTGCAACTCCATCGGCTCAGTGCAACCCAGAGCTAATGCTGCCTTTTGACAGAGAGGACAGCTGCTGGACTGTCAGGGCCCCTGGGAGCCTGCATGGTTACTCTTCTGCTTTTGCCTTGCCTAAAGTGTTTGGGATGTGTCATTCACTTTGCGCGCGGGTGTGTGTTCAAATCAACTGGGCTCGCTGTTCGAGCAGAGGATGTGGGGAAACAAGTGAAATACCACCATCACGGATGTGTGTGTTCTCTACATCACCATGAAATGTGAATGCAGTGGAGATATTTTTGTGGTTGAGGGCTGAGTCATGCAGCTGCTGCAGCGGCTAACCTTTTTTTTTTTTTTTTTTTTTTCCCCCCAGTACTTCTAGTCTCACGTAGCTGCCCAAAGGTTTCAGATCACTGAAGGTTTGATGAAGGATCCATACCTCTGGGCTGTCTGAAGGTTTCAGCTTCAGCTGGACAGATGAAGACAGTCACTGTAGGCAGAGATAAAGGAGTGGACCTGATGTCCTGTGGCTCCTCTTTTCTAGGATTCAGGTTTGGCTGATGGACACAGAGAAGGGCTAGAAACACCCATAGTTTAGTTGATGTGGCATTTATTTTTTTAAACTGATAAACTCAAATTTAATGTGCATTCTTTAAAAAAAAATTAGTCGTTTCTGACCTCTTGGTTAGGTGACTGGGCTTCGACCTTGAACGTTACACACGAAATAGTGCCCTCCAGGGGTATTCACACCCTGGATCACATTACAACTACGACAAAATTTATTTATTTTATTTTATTTTTTTACAGAATTTTGCATAAAAGACTAAAACAAAGCAAAGCGATTGCTTTGAAGTCAAAGGTAAAGTAGAAAAAGTAGGAAAGATAGAAATCAGAAAGGTTTTAAGTTCAGATTGGATGGAAAGTGTCCATGACCATCAGATTTCAAATCCTTCCACAGTTTCTTAATTGGATTTTAGTTGGGACTCCAGCACACGCTTTGAGCTAAATCATCCTTTGTATCTGTGTCAGTGTGTTTAAAGTGGTCATCTTGCTGGAAGCTGAACCTTTGCCCTGGTGTCAGTCTGCTGCAGCCAAACAGGTTTTCTTCTATTTAGCTCAACTCATCTTTACATAAACCCAGAGCTTCATTCGTGTCTCACCGGGATTAAAACATCCCCACAGGGTGAGACTGCCGCCGTCACTGTTTTTATTTTATTTATTTATTTTTTGTTGTTTTTGAATTTTGTTATTTAGTGGAGATGGTGTGTTGAGGCTTTATGTGCACTGTTAGTTTTCCACCACATGAAGCATATTACACATTTGCCAACTGATCAATTTTGACCTCTTCTGAGAAGAAGAGAACTATTTTCCACATTTGCGGCGTGCTGTCTGCATGGTTCAAACTTTAAAAATGACCTGTTATGACTTTCTTGCCATCCAGTTATAAGGAAGACTAATAACTTAGTTCCCTGCAGTTCCTCCAAAATTACAGCCAGTCTCATAGCTTCTTCTCTAGAGTAACATGCAGTCCTCTTTCTATCTTCAGATAAAGTGTTCAAAGATTGGGTTCTTCTATTAGAACCTAACCCTGCTTTAGCCTTTTCTACAACTTTATTCCTGTCTTTTATGTTCCTTGGCTTTTCTAGGATAAGTTCATAGAAAAGCTATAATTAAACTGAGATTAAATCACAGTTTAAATATTACGAATTAGACGACTTTTGATGTTAGTTGCTTCCTCTTGATTTTCTTCAGGGTATCAATGGGAAGAAGAAGCAAATGAATACCAAATTCTTGACTTGAGCGTAAAAATATATTGAAAACCATTTTCAACATATTTGAAAGCGTTGAAATGGCTGAAAATGAAAATGTTTCTTTCATTGAACATTCATGCAGCTCTGTGTCAGTTAGTGGATGTAATGTGACAAAATCTGGAAGAGGCTTAAAGGTATATTAAGACTAATCAAATGAAAATGTTTCTTTCATTGAACATTCATGCAGCTCTGTGTCAGTTAGTGGATGTAATGTGACAAAATCTGGAAGAGGCTTAAAGGTATATTAAGACTAATCAATACACTGTAAGTTATGAAAAAGGTTGTGTTTTAAACCTTTGACAGCATGGTAACTCACGCTTACAGTCATTTGTTCCCTCTTGAAAATAAAACTCTGTCTAGGTTTTTCTTCAGGTGTGTAGAGTGATGTTTAATCCCTGTGCTGGACACCTGAAAAGGTCATCCATAGTGGACAGGATTACAGAAGCGCCAAGTCAGTTTCCTCAGTAGAGCTACTGCGAATATGGTTTCATTTCTGCGTTCAGGCTCAGATGGCTGGGGACTGACTCTGCTAATTTGTGAACCTTGTCAGAAATGGGCCCCAGTACGGGTGAGAAGTGAACAAAAATCTGTTTCTCTGCTGAACAGATTGAACGTTTTGCTGCTTTCCATAGCAGCTGCTGTAAATGACATGCAAATGATCTTTTTCTCCCCATCCAAAATCAGTCCATTAACTGCGTGCTGTTTCCATGCCCAAGTGGTTGCATACTTCAGCTCTTCTGCAAATGTATTCTTGTTTTTGAATGAATGTCTTTAAAGACTTTTTTTTGTTTTGTTTTGTCTGAATCACTGCTGCAGTACTTTCACTCAGGTTAAAGTTCAAAACACTGAGGTGTGGGTTTCTGTCAGGAATAGGCAGTCATGCTTATTTGTCTTTCTGCTGCAGTCTTTGCATAACCTCCTACACCTCCCCGCTGTCTCCTCAGATGAAGGACCATACTCCAAGGGGAGCAAAGAGACAACTGACCAATCGCATTCCTCCCGGGGGCGAAGCCTTTCAGGTACATTACAGTCAAACCTTACTTTGTTTCATGTGCCGTCTGAGTCACAAACCTCTTGGGTTGTCAAGAGGATAAAATCGCAGCAGTCTTTGTTGAATTGTGAATTATGTGCCTCTAGTGGTTTGCTTTGTCTTTTGCTGTAATAAATGCTTAGATAAGTCGGAAAAAAAATGCACTTGTGGCATACCTGTCATGGTACTAAACTGCTGTTGGCATGATGGACAAAGGGGAGATTTACCAGCACAGCACAAAGTGGACCACAAGACAGAATGAGTTCTCTCATGACATAATGAAAACACACATCAATTACAATTGTATTTCTTTTTCTTTCTTCCTTTTTTTCTTTAAATCAATGTAATAACAAAACTGGGCTTTAAAACTGACTTTAAATCATGACTAAAATAGGTCAATCCTGTTTACTTGATAAATTGTTAATGTTAAATAAATTATCAAGCTCTTGGTAGTTCTCTGATTAAGTAACCAAAACATAAGCTGAAACTCAGCAGGTGGCAATACATAAAAACTAAAGGCAAAATGTTAAAGCAGAAAGTAAAATCCCAATAAGCTCAATATTCTACTGCTTTCAGGAAAACGTTTTATGCAACAATTTAAAGTATAAGTCTCTTATTTATGATGTAACATATGTTCCGTAATGGACGATTTTTCTAAATGTGTCTGACTTTTTCACTTTGCAATACCTTGGATCCTTACTCTTTAAGAAATTTTGTTCTTTTCCTTGAAAGCTAAACCAAATCCTGATCTTTCCATCACAACCTGATAGTTGGGTTTTTTGTTTTTAACTCAAAGTGACAAAGAGCATTATCTTCAGGCATATTTGTCTCAGTCTCACCTACAAAAACAACATTGTCAATGAAGTCATTTGGTTTGTTCAAATAGTACTACATATTAAACTATGCTATTTTTTATTTTTTATTTTTTTGTAAAAAAGTAAGGGTTTTTGTTGCAACTTCTCCAAACAAGTCGTACTTGTTCAGTATTCTCTACTCATATTGACATGAACTTAACATTTAACATCTTGTGTGGAGTTTTATTTGTATAGTGGATTGCAAAAAAAAAAAAAAAACTCATACTGTTTCAAATTTTTACCATTTTATAACTTTAAATCCATAACTGACTATGTATTTTACTGAGATTTTATGTAATATAACAAAGCAAAGTAGAGCATAATTGTGGAGTGGGGTGAAAATGATACCTGGTTTCAAATATTTTCCACAAGAAAAAAAAAAATGAGAAGTGTGACATGCTTCACACACGTCTGGAACTGAAATAAGATGGTGATGATGTTTGTAACAGAATCAGATAATAAAAAAAATATTCTGAATTTTTAGCAGCTCACATAGTGCAACTTCAAACCTATTGGTGTCCTGCCAGTTTTAGAAGATCCCCTGTTCCATTTGTGGACTCTAGTAATTGCATTGTTTCATACCATACTTTCTAGATAAATGGGTACCACATTTATCTAGAGTGCATTGTAAGCAATAACCTTACAGAAGCAATAACCTTCTCTTCCCTTCTTGGTGTGGCGTTAAAACATCCCTATTGCTCCAAATCAACAAACTATGAAAACCTTTGGCTTTACAGCTTTGCTCACACCCAGTGTGGTAAATCAATCCTGAGTACTTGGGGAGTAGCACCTTGTTGACTTTATTATTCAAACAAAATCAGCATGACACTTATTAGTTTTACAAATAAGTGTTTTTCTTAAAGAACTATGGACATACATGTCACCTTGGCGTTCACCTACTTTAGCATTTACTTTTTATTTTTTTTTAATTTTCTTAAGCTTCTTACTTTCCTTCAGATTTCCACACAAATATTCTCTTTGGGATGCGAAGAAACAAAGAGAAGACAAAGTAGCTGGAAACTGTTCCCCGTGGTTGTATCTTAGAAAACATTTTCCGAAAAATTCAAAAAAAAAAAAAAAAAAGCCCTTCCATGCCTCACAGACAGGGCAGCTCTGTCAAGCAGAGGCTAATTCTTTCTGTGGGTCTGTGCCTGCGTCTGTATCTGTCAGCAGAGGAGTATCGAGGAGTGACCACGGTGGAGCTGATGAAAAGGGAAGGCAGCAGCCTTGGCCTCACCATCTCCGGAGGCTCTGATAAAGATGGCAAGCCCAGAGTGTCAAACCTACGGCCAGGTGGGCTGGCTGCCAGGTGAGATCTGTGCTCTGTGATGTGCTCTGAGCCTGGCAACGCCAGCAAACCGGTCAGGCATCCAGCTCTGCACACATGTTTTAAAGGCTGATAGCTGAGTCTAGAGTGTTGCTATTCAGAATGTTTTATTAGCCTTCTTCTTACACGAGACATTTCTTCACCTAAGACAAATCTGATATGCTATGGTGGTATGGTGGTTAAATCATTAATAAAGTATAACTAAGTTATTTCAATGCTAAAACAACAGATGTTAGCCAGAGGGAAGTTTTTAAATAAAACCTTTTTGTTCAGATGGTAATGAGATATTTTCCCCCAGTATAAACCAGATAGTTTTCTGTGAACAGAAAACAGAAAGATATTAAGATGTGATGTTTTCCAAGAGTCATCAAGGCCAACAATACAAGCATGTTCTTCAATGAACTGAAGTCTTGTATGTTCTCAAATTTTCTTGTTTTGACCTGATGCCTGAAATTTATATCGATTACAACAAGTCGTGTCTAGTCTAGCTCTTCGTAGAGCAAAAATCACACATGACTCTTTGGAGTCAAACATCTCCAACAAACTATTCTGGACCAAACCTAACAGAACCTAAACATACATCAGAGCAAACATGCACACCTTTCAGAATCCTTAAACCTCAAACATGACAAAGAAAACATGTTACTACCAAAAAGTATTTAGACCAGGAGAGAGAAACAGATGAAATGCCATGCAGAGCGCAGACCTGCTCAGAGGCACCTACTAAACACACTTTTCCCATTGACAGCATTTCATTTAAAGCAATAGAAAACTCATTTGATTATTGTTGCTCATTTAGAAAGTGCTGAAGACATTCACATTAAAGCTACCTTTTAGTTTCTTTTTCTATTTTATCTTGCACTTTATATGTTGCAATTTTTAGCTGTACAAATAAAATTTACTTATTTACTGTTTTCAATTTTAATAAGTCCACAATGCAGGTTAAAATCTATATTAGAAACCCTAATCCAAGAATCTTCTAGCCTTCTGTATATACACTTCAGTAGCATGGAAACGATAAATGTTTTATTCAAAGCCTGTTACTTCTACCTTGTTTGTGGGTGGGGTGAGGGATGGTGTGTCATCCTGCATGACACTGATGTGAAGAAAAAAAAAACAAAACACCCTCAGTTCAGCAAGAATGACACAATCCTTTGAAAATGTCCTGGCCAAATTATGTCATTTCTTGTCACGTCTAAGGGACACTATGCTAATTCTACCAAGCAGCTTGTCTTCACACAGCTGAGTTCACGCCTATGTGAAAGTACCCACTAATTTAATGGGTGCGGCACGCTGGGTCAGAACGGCTACGTGTGTGACGGCATTGGACCATCGTGACGTTCAACCCTGCTAAGCTTTGGAGGCTTCTCTGTCTGCTGTCACGGCTGATTGACAGGAGCCCAAAGGGTGAGAAGGGCAAGAAGGGCAGGACATCTATTTGATTAATTAGCTCTCCAGTGAGCGGCGCGTTGACTCAGAATGTCAGACGTGAGACATCATATAGTCATCTCTGTCAGTGTCAAAGAGGGAGAGACTGTCAGTCATCTTACTCCCAAATCTGTGTTGCTTTCTACACAGGTGTCCTTCTCTGTTTGCCTGCAGAGATGTTAAAAATCACATAACGGTGTTCCAGCTACAGCTCTGGTCATATGCTAACAGAGACTCACCATGGGCACGAATAGTATATTCATTTTAAAAGCATCTATTGATTTTTGGCATCAGTAGATGCCAAAAACAGTTGTTTTAACCATACAACTGTTCTATTGAGGTGAACCTAAATAATTTGAAACCAGTGCCCTTCCTTATTCTGACACTTATTTTGCGCGATGCACCTGCACAATTCTAACATAACAAGATCCAAAGCATGATGCTAATAGCAATAAAACTATGTTAATTGCTGCGTATGTTAATAGCAGCTTTGGAGGGCTAACTTTAAGTCCTGCATTGTGGAGTAAAAGCTGGGCGTGTCTTGTATTGTCTTTAAATCAGAGGGATGGTTTGGTGGAACGATGGTAAGCATTTGCTGGCATTTAATTAAATGTAGTCCAAATGTGCAGATGTGGACATTTTTTAGTTTGTGTAAATTTGATGTGCAGCTTTCTGCTTTCACCAGTGAGTAGAGGAAAGCTAGATGGCCTTAATAGTCTGTTGTGGCTCTTAACAGGAGCGACCAGCTGAATGTGGGCGACTACATCAAGTCAGTGAATGGCATCAACCTGTCAAAGCTCCGGCACGATGAAATCATTAGCCTACTGAAGAACATCGGGGAGCGAGTCGTCCTGGAAGTGGAGTATGAGCTGCCTGCATATGGTGAGAACGGAATGAATAAATAAATCTAGATGACAGCGTAATGGAAAAAGTTTTTAATTTATATATATATTATTGTCAAAAGCAAAACTGGAGTATGAAATCCTTCTCACAAGATTTTATGAACTTACAAGTAAAATCTGTTGAAATGGAAAGCAGGAGCACAAACAAACATTAACCTATTTACTGTATTCATTAAACGTAGCAAAATATGACAAGCACTTTCAAAAGAAGGAGTGACCCAAATCCCATCTTTGTCGCTGAGCAAAGATGAGATAAACATTTTCAAAACTAAACAACCTGGGAAACTATGCCTTTCTTTTAAAAGAAAGAGATTCATCTCAATGTTTTAAGTCTGCAATAACTTCCCAATTCTACAAAAATCCAACTATTTCCCCATTAAAATGCAGGTAAAAAATATATATGATCATAATTAGCAAATATATATATATTTCTTTTGGAAAACCTAATTTCAACTTGGAAATTTTTGCCCGTGTGTGGGGAAGTCACACCAAAAAGTAAATTATTTTCTCCCGAAGCATCGCTATGTTGTCAATATTACACCCAACACACAGATTTGACAGCTTTTAATTCCTTCTTCTCAAGTAAAACCTTTAAGAAACCATGAACATTGTACATTGTACAAACAAAATAAGATGATTTTCTAAGCATAACAGAATTCACAACTCTTGAACAAGACCCATTCGCACCACTCTGTTTGTAGACGTGGACATTTTCTGCTTCTATGTAATTCTTTCTTGATTTTCTCTTTCACTGCAGTCCAGAGTCCGTCGGGAGTCATAACTAAAACCATAGAGGTGTTTTTACACAAGGAGGGAAACAGTTTTGGCTTTGTCATGAGAGGTAAGCAAGTTGGATGCGGTTGTTTGCGTTTTCTTATTTTAGGAACGTTACAAAGTCCAATTTTTTTCTTTCATTTTATAATATTTTCTTGGAATCCATTTTGAAGGAGGTTTCCATGAAGACTGGCGAAGGTCTCGTCCTTTGGTGGTTACCGGTGTCCGGCCCGGGGGTCCAGCAGACAGGTCAGGATGTGCCTGATGATGTGCTTATTTATAAGGGTTGGTTGTGTTTCGCCTGGTTTCTGGCTTGTGAGATCATCTGGGAGGTTTTGCATGGACGAGTCCATTAAAATTAAAGAATGTAAGCATTCATGTGTACAGAGGCATACAAGCTAATGACCATTTGACTAATTTTCTTGTTTTTATGAAGTAAATCAAACGTCAATTATTAATGCGGCAATGAGTTTTAAAAATCTGCTGTGCATTTATGTTGCAAAAGCCCAATTTTTCTTTCTCAAAGACTGCACAAAATTGTTGCTGCAACACATGAAGAGCATGTTTAACACAGAAAGGGCAGCGCTCATCCCGAGGCTAATGCAGCCTTGCACTTTTCTCTATGAAAACCTGAGAGCACCAAAACGGTGGAGCAAACATAATGCTGCATCAAAGCCTTTATGGCCATTTATCACCCACCTGGGAGGAGATCCTCACTGCTTAATCATTCACTGTGACTGCTGCTTAAACGCTGCTGTGAGCATCATGGCCTGGTTTGGTAGGTTTTATTTTCCTTGTTCATGTTTGAGGGGTTTTTTTTGTTTGTTTTTTTCCAGAGAGGGCACGCTAAAGGCCGGAGACCGGGTTTTAAGCATAGACGGGATGCCTTTGAACAGAGAGAGGCACGCTGATGCGTTGACCATGCTGATGCAGAGCGGCCAGGAAGCTCTGTTCCTGATCGAGTATGACGTTTCTGTCATGGGTGAGTAATCACACACACTCACACGCACACACGCAAACACACACACATGCGGAGAGCATGTGGAGGCATGGTAGGGCAGCGTTTCTCTGAGGGCATGGAGCCGTTTGGGCGCGTGGATGATTGTTGGTGCTGGAGACGGCACCAGGGGAGCAACATGAACCTGAGTGCGCATTGATCATAACTGTACTAACAACACAGTTGGACTTTTGAAATAATCATCAATTCTTGATGATGACAAATTAATCAAAAGGCAATTTGAGAAACACTGAAAGCTGTGTATAAATCTGTGAATGCAGATGTTGGTACACTTCCCAAAAAGAATCTGACTGAAATGTGAGGGTAAAGACCGTGTTTGACCTAGATACTCCAGAAAAGCAAATATATCATTTTAGCTTTTAATGGTTTTCCAAAATGGATTTTATTCCTAATTTTCTTCTTTATACCGCAGGTTTTATTTGACTATTTTATTTCCTTTACCCATCAGAGGAAAATCTTCTGGCTCACAAAACATCGAGATTTAGATTCATTTTGTATTTGCAAAAGGATAAAATGTACATGACAATTGGTTATCTTATGCTATTTTATTTCTTTTTTATGTTTCTTGTATATTAAGTCACTAATATGTCAGAATTTATCTTTTATTTTATTCGTGTTTGTTATTTTACTTGAATTATTATTTTATTGTTAACTGTACTTTTAATTGAAAGCCGACAAATGTGTCATTTTATGATTTGTGGAAGGTACAAAATTCTATAAATATTTTGAATACTATTGCCTAAAACTTTTTTTTTAAATTGTAACTGGAGTCTGGAAAATTATTGAGTTTTGAAATAGAAAAAGGCATTTTTTTTATGCTGAAACTCCAGTATGATTTTTGCAAAGCATTTGGTGTGACATTATGCTGCAATGTTTTTCCTTTGCAAAGCTTCTGATGACTGGGATTCAGCTTGACATTTTTCATACAGACATTCACTAGGCTGCCTCTAATCATCATTGTTCCAGCATTTTCTTGCTCTCATTTAGCCCTTTATCGTTACACTACCTCAGCCATTTTCTTGGAACTCCAAAAATGCTGTACCACATATGAGCCGAACAAATTAAAGTTGTTTTTATTTGACCATAGCGTAACCTCAGAATAGTCAGGAGACATTTTTTTTCTCGATCTCTCTGTTTCAGTTATATCCTCATATTTGAAGGGTTTGTCTTGGACATGGTCTGCAGAGGTTGATGTTATGCAATGTTTAGTTTCTGATCTGTCACAGGAACTTTGATTTCCTCCGACATGTCCAATGCTGAGTCTGTAGCCCTTTTCTGTCAGGTTTCCACAGCGACTTTATCCACATAAATACTCAGACAGCATCCAGTCTCTACTGTTGTTTTAGAAGGTCAGCCCCAGCAGCTCAGATTGGAGCTACCCTGACTTGTAGCACACTGCTTTCTATTGTGTTTTTGACTGATTTAGGCAAATTGTCAATTCTTCTTTTTAACAATTACTTTATTTGTTCAGTATATTTTGGTTTGGCACATGGAGAGAAGGATCTTAAAATCATTTGTTTTTGATCTTTCAGAGATTTGTAATTTCTCTCATGCTCTCTGCTCTTCAGGTTAACCCACTGTTTATATATACAGTTATGTTCTGTGGTACAGAACAACAACAACTAATACTTAGTTAAAATACCCAGGCGGTTCATTATTCAATGCATTTGAAAGACAGAAATTATATGGAGAGTTTATGGCGTGCGCTTTAACGTACTACATAATTTTACCTGTAGTGTGCCTTTGTAACACCTTAAACTTGTTTCTTTATTTCTGTGTGTTCTGATAAAATTAATACTGTGAAAGTGAGTAAAAACATGTTTAAATCAGTATAACAGCGAAGAGTGACCCCACTTCAATCGGTTCTGTTAAGAAGCAGAATATGCCACCAAATACTAGAGCTCACAACATGACTAAAGGCCTAATTATAACCTCCATTTGGTCATGGTGACTAATTCTCAAGATCACGCTCTTTGCTCTGGTCTGTGCAAACTAGGACAGGTCACTAAGGATAGTTGGCACATATATTCTCCCTTTGCACAAAATTTAGGATTCAGACCTTCTGCTGGCAGATTAATTAAAGCGTGAAATCATTCCCAGCAATCATCATTCCTACAACAGTGATTTACTTGCAAAAGATTACTACTTATTATAAAGAAAATATGACATGACTTTGATTTGTAAGTAGTGGAATAGAAAAAAAAACTGTGTCAAAACAGCATAAGAGAAATTTTGTTGAAAAGTATATTTTCTCATATATATGACCCCTCAGCAGCTCCAGGGAAAAGAAGTGGTCCAATGTTTTATAGCTTGGGTGAAAGTCAAACAGCTCCACCTGAATCTGAGGTTCGACAAACTTTCACAACCTGCTTTCCAACAAGCTGGAGAATGCTTCTTCGTGAAGGTTAAATGTGGGATCCCACATTCTCTGGTTCACTTTATTACAGTCTTTGTAAAAAAATAAAATAAAATAAATACAATAACACATCTTAAATTCATCCTAATGTTTTATTCTGTGATATAATGTTTTTTCATTTACTGACAAAGCTGCTAAAATTGAATACATTTTGACCCCTAGTTTCCTAGAAGTCACTGAATATTATTCAGATAACTTATGTTCAGGCAGGGATTGTTAGGGGCCTTAATAACCCGTAACTGTAATCCACACAAGCTCTGAACTGTGATGAAAACACAAGCATTGTTTCTATCACAGTTCATATTGTAAACCATTTTCCTTTTTTCGCTGAATCTAAATCAACTTTTTTGTTTGTTTGCTTTTGTTTTTTTGTGCCGATTTAGATTGAGTAGATCTGTGTAATGTTCTGCATGCTTGTGTTGTCTGTTCCAGAGGCAGTGCAGCAGGCCTCGGGCCCTCTGCTGGTGGAAATAGTGAAAGGTCCTTCTGCCAGCCTGGGGATCAGCCTCACAACCACAACGTACAGAAACAAGCAAGTCATCGTTATCGACAAGATAAAGCCAGCAAGTGTGGCGGAAAGGTGAAGCAAGTCTTCTGCATGTTCCGTCTATGCAAAGTGTCTCTTGACAAAGCAGACATCCAAAACGGAGCCTCGGTCTTTGTCTCACTCTCAGATGTGGCGCGCTTCATGTGGGAGACATCCTGCTGTCCATAGACGGGACAAACACTGAGCACTGCTCCCTGATGGAGGCAACGCAGCTGCTGGCCAGCACCTCGGAGAATCTCAAACTTGAGATTCTTCCAGCCAGTCAGAGCAGACTTCCCATCAGGCCACAAGACACAGGTATGTTCTGCGGGTCACAGAAACCCAAATTCGTTGTTAGTTTTTTTTTTTTTTTTTAAAGAAAAAATTAAGAAAAAGAAAAAAGATGAGATGTAAGCAAGAGCCTGCAGCTTCCGGTTATTTATCTCTATTTTTTACTGGTGGTATTAATAAATAATTTATCTGGAGTGTAAAATGTCAAAACATTCTGAAAAGAGTATGGCTACCCCGAGGTGAAACTCACTTAAGCAAATCCATGGCTGTATTCCAGCTATTTTCACAACTTTTCCTTTTTACTGTGGCCAGGTTTTTTTAGGAACATTTTGTTTTCATTCTTGTAGAAAAGCATATTTTAAAATTACCTATTCTCTTTGGAAAGCAATGAAATAACCAAACACGTTTCATACTTTCAAGAGTTTTACGTCTTCTGGCTCTAAAGTGTAAAGATTTAAGAAAGACAAAAGGTGGTTTTGTAAAATCTGTCCTATTTTTAAGTGATTTATGATTTTCTTTGGTTTTGTCATGTTGTCATGTGCAAGTTTTCCCCCAAACCCTTGTCTCACCATGCATATAGTGACCACTCTGTTCTTTGCAGCATAACATGCAGCAGTAAAGGGTTTAGCTGTCTTTTTTTCAGACTTTCTGAATCATCTTGACTGCATGTTTTTTCTTTGGTATGCTCATGGCACTTTTCTTTGCTTGCACACTTGCATGGGTATTATTAAACAACACACAGATGAGCTTTCTCTGTCAGAGATCATGTTCCTGCAGTTTTATATTTGAATCAGCAGCCACAAGAACTTGTAGCCCTGCGATGTGATGGATCACACTAGGGGAGAAAGCTAAAAGAAGGAAATAAAACCGTTGTGAACACCTTCCCCAGATTTTACTTCTTTCAATGTTTCAGCATAAAAATTAAAAGTGAAATTTAATAATTTGCTGTTTTGAATATGATCAAATTTGTTTAAAAAAAAACTGTGTCAGATTTTTAGGAGAATATATATATATATATATATATATATATATATATATATATATATATATATTTTACTTCATCTTACATCTAATAAGATTCCTTTTCCTTCACATTTCAGTTTTCCAGAACTGCTGTAAAAATGGGTATTTTGGGATCACCAAGTCTCAATAAAAACTATTACACATTATTTATATGCAAACCATGTGTTTGGAAGATATCCCATTAGAAAACCCTTTTCTCTCCTACTGTCACAAGCATAAACATGAATTTCCCCACTGTAGTTCTATTCTCACAGATAAGGAAAAGTACTTCATTCTCACTTTTAGGCATGGTGGAGGGTGTGTGATGCTTTGGGCCTCTGTGTCAAATGACAGGTAACATTTTTCTCTGATAACATGTTTTTTTTTAATCATTTACACATTTTGAATCCCATTCATTACTGCACGCAGATTGAAAGATTTCTTAACATCACTTGGAGCATGTGAATTGATAATGTCAGTTTGAACTTGGTTAGGTGGATGTTACACTGTAAATATTACATCAGATAAATGATTCTGTTGACCACCAGTATGGTAGCAATCTGGGCATGTTCTCTGATATTCGCTTTCAGTAACAACTCATCGTTTAGCAAGTGTGCTTTTGGGATGAAACAATTTTCACAGCTCCTCTTCTCTGGGAGGAGGCATGATTATAAAATGCAATTTGCTTAATCTTCTCAGAGGATTTAATGAGGCTGACTGAAAGATTAGAAGACACATCTTTCCACCCACTAAGACTGAAAGCAAAATATCTTGAAAAGAGTGCCCTAGGTGAGCTTAATTTAAGCTGGCAGAGTCAGGGCTTTTCGGGCTGATTTGAGCTACGTAGATCTTGGTTTCTTGAAAAGGCCCAGAGGTTCTGCTGCATGTAGTCTGAATACGTATGATTGGATTTAGCCAAAGTCCTCGAGTATTGCATGCATGCCAGGCACCAGTCAGCAATCTCTCGATAAAATACTTCATCCATGCAAGCAAGCTGTCAGAGATTAGACGTTTCCAAACGAGGCGGCAAGGATGAATGTCAAATTTGTAACTGAATGACTGATAACAGCTGCCTGAATCTGGAAGGAGGCTGTAATTATTGGGGTGAGTGTCAGACAGTTGGTCAGCTGTTTTTTCCTTTGATCGCTTCATGAATGCAGCCTGACAAAAATGCTCAGGTTTTCCACTTGAAAGATGAAACCATTTAACATGAGCCAGACTCTAGAAATGTGAATTCAATCTGCACTGGGGTAATAAAGACTGACACCAAGCACTTTCAGCACCGCCAATCAGACGCAGAGACACAAACTCTGCATTAATACCAATCAGGCCTTCAGCTGTACTCAATCAAGGACGAGTTGCATGCCTCCAAGCAGTCAGTCAGCAGGACTTTCTGACTGTGTTCAGCAGTCTTACTCCCTCTGTTAGAAAGAAATGATCAAAAATGATCTTCAGTTTGAAATCGGCTCTGTGGAGCCTGGCCAGCAGAAGTAAGATTTCTTTAGAAATATTTCTGTGATTTTTCCAAAAAAAAAAAAAAAAACCTGATTGATCTGCAAGTACATTAAGCTCCAGGATTCAATCTAAAGTATCGGGTAAAACGCATTTAATATCAATTATTGGTTGCTGGCGTATCCTCCAGGCGGAGATTTAAATTTAGACATGAAAAGCAAATTGTGGCGGTTTCCAGTGGACTTGATTTATTTTTGTTTTTAAAATTAGTCATCTTATTTTAATGATGCATGCGCTTCTTTTTGTTCTTGTTGCTGCAGTTAAAGTACAGAAAAGCAACCATCATCACTGGGACCAAAGCAGCAACTACTGCCATCCCCCACACGCCAGCCACAGCAAGACATGGAGCAGCCCGAGCCACCCACACAACCAGCAGGACCACTGCAAATGTAAGTTATCACTTGTGACAGCTCTGCTGCTGGCAGGGCCGCTTTCTTGGCTCTTTAACAGCCCAATTATTAAAACATCTCTCCATGACCACCCAAATAATAGTCGCAACCTTTTTACTTTTTCGTTCCATTCTACTGCCGTGGTGATTTTTTTTTTTTTTTTCTGTATCATTTTCTTTTTATTGCTATATCAGTCCTCGTGTTGCTCTGTTTTGTCTCGGCAGCTGTGAGCGCCGGCTTCTCCCCTTCATCCACAGCCACCTCCGGCTTCAGCAGCCAAGGTAGCAACACTCTGCCCTGCCCCATTGCCCCCGTTGCCCCCACCAGCCCCCACAGCGCCACTGGGAGGAGAAGGAACAGGAAGAAGGACCACAAGAGCTCAAGTAAGATAAATTATCTCCTTTTGTGCTACAAAAAGAGACTGAGACTCCTAATTGTTTTAAAGCAAACTTAAAACTTGCGTTTTTGTGCTTTTCAACCTGATGAAATGTATTGATTTGAAAAAAACATCCCCCATCAGCAGCAGTAATGGCCGATAAGTGTTTTTCTATCACTGTGAAGAGATTTCGACCCAGTCTTTTTCAGAGAAATGTTGTTTCATACACACTGAAAATAAACTAGGTTCCTTCAAAACTTTATTTTTCCCACACATTTTTTATTCTTAAGCCATCCATAGGTAAACTTCAATTTTGGATCATCATCCTGCAAAACAAAATAAAATGCAGCTGAAGTTAAGATCAAAAACTGGTGGCCAAATATTCTCCCTTAGGATTTTCTGGTCAAGTTCAGAATTCTTGATTCCATCAATTATGGAAAGCTGTTCTGGCCCTGAAGTTGCAAAGCAGTCTCTGACTGCCACAGCACAACCATAATGTTTGTCTGCATAAACTTCTGTTTCTGAAATTTTGTGTTGGCTTTGTGTCTGTGTTCAATCCCTTCAAAAGGTTCCACTTTTGTGGAGCAGAATGTTTTTCCAAAAGTCTTGGAGATCTTCTGGCAAATAATAATAATAAAAAGGCTCTTTGTGATCTGTTTGGGTCAATGATAGCGTTTCTTTCTCGCTCTTTAAATTGATTGTCTCATCCTTTTTTAAGCATTTTGTGTCCTGTGTATGAAACATTCTCAACTCATAAAGATCGACTAACATGTTTACATCCATGCCTGCATTTACAGCACACACTCCCCTGTCAGTTTAGTAGACCATCTGCTAAAAGTGATGTAGTTTCATTTAATAGATCATGCATGGAGTGAAATTCTAGTCAGCTGTCGGGTCTTATTAGTATATTTTGCAGCTCAGAGCCTAGAACTGCTTACACTGAGGTGTGAAAATGGATTTATCTGAGTAACCTGAGCCTCGACGCGAATAGACTCAACTGATTGTTGACGTAAGCGTGACTGTGACTCATTCACTTCCTATTCCCCTGCCACTGAGCCAGTGGGTGGCTGTCTCTTCTCCTCACCCTCTCAAACCATCTCCAAAGGTTCCCTTCCTTTGCTCCATCTCTCTGCCGCATTTCCAGTGGTATCTCTGCGTGACGTGTCCTCTCTCTTCCTCAGTGTCCCTGTCCTCCAGCTCTGTTGGGCCTGGGGGGCAGATTTTCCACGTGGAAACGAGTGAAGTCCTCCTGAGGGGGGACCCACTAACTGGGTTTGGGATCCAGCTGCAGGGCGGCGTGTTTGCCACAGAAACACTGTCTGCACCCCCGGTCATCCGCTTTATAGAGCCCGACAGCCCCGCCGAGAGGTAACCCAGTCAGACACCTAAACAGAAATTAGGCAGCAAACACGGTCACCTTTATCTGAAGGGCCTCAGTTTCTAATGAGGGAAGAAATTCACTCACTATGTAACCGACAGACGTTCAGCTGCGGGCGTTTAATTAGGACGTCGGCTGTCCTGTATCTAGAGTGATCTGTCATTTTAAGTGCAACAAATTGAATCCCTGCCTTAGATTGCACATTAGTGGACGATCGTTACTGGTTGAATGCAGCTAGAAGGAAATCTCTCTAACTGGAGTGATGGAGTTGTCCCAAACATAAGTGTGTTTATAAATGTAGCAAATTTTAAATAATTCAGTGACTATTGTAACAAAATGTAAAGTTTTGACGTACAGTTCCCTGTGGAAGTATTCATTCAACTTGTTCACATTTTGTCGGTTTTAAACCAGAACCTTGCATGCATTTTACAGATATTTTATTTATTAAACCAACACCAAGCTCATGCAGTGGAGAGGTCAAAATCGATCACTGGTTTTCAATGTACTTGACAAATCTATTAAGTTTTTTTTTTTTTTTTTTTTTCCCCCGACATTCCAAAAAAGTGTTTGGGAAAAAAAGTGAAGAGGTATGATTACTTATGAAAGGCACTGCATGCAAATACGGTAATTTTGTCTCAGCCTTGCATATCACCCACCGTTCATGATGCCCAGCTCTGATTTGGCTTGCCTGGAATAAAACGCTTAAGCTCATGGAAAGTGGTGGGAATGTTGTTGTTGATGATAAATGCAGCTCAAGGGAAATTTGAGTTAATCACAGCCAGCTGTAGTCATTGACGTATTGAGCAATAATACTGCAATTGGAAATGTTTTTTTCTGACGCAAGATACAATTCTAATCCAAAACATTAACTTGATAAACACGTCATTCTGCGGTTCCTTTTGTCAAAGGTTTTATATGCAGTGATGTGAGAAAACTGGTGCAACAAGAAAGGTGTAATTGGGAAATAGAATCAGAATCTATCAACAAAAAAAAGTATTTTGTCCTAACTAAAATGTGACTTAAATGACATATATTTATTTATTTTTATTTATTTATTTTTTTGTGAAGTTACTAGAAGCAAAAATACATTTTAGTTTCTGGATTCATTGTGTTTTCTCAAGGCTTTTGTGGCATTTGTAAGCACTAAGTGTCTCCTGCTGTTAGACCGAAGCCCAGAGCAAGCTCTTTAAGTTTTCCAAATCAAGCAGAGAAGTATTGTATGTGACTGAACAAACACGCTGTCTTCATGCCTGTATGTCACAGCCCGCCTCGAGTGTTTCAGAGCTCCTCTGAGGACATCTGCATTTAAAGATGTTTAAAGGAAAATGTGGCTGTATTAAATGCATATTCAAATTGACCTACAGACAAAAAAAAAAAAATCCATCAACCTTGTCCGAGTATTGAATAATGCAGTAATCTCATTACCTTTGCTTGGATATGAAATTCCAATGTTTATGCTTTTGTCTTTTCTTGTAGGGAGTATTGATCAGTTTGTGTAAACAGTACGAGTTGGAAAACTATAGTTAAAGATAATATTTTTGTTCTGGGATTAGTGGTGGCCATTGAAGAAGTTTAATTTTCTGCCTCAACATTTTCTACATGACTTTAGTTAAATGTTTTGGATCACTCTCATTAACCCAATAGTGACTTGTGTTCACTTTTCTAATAAAGGCCAACATATTTTTAAACAGTTTTTAAGAGCTTATTAGTTAATTCATTATTGTCTGTTTTAAATTGGGAAAAAAAAAAAAAAAAAAAAAAAAAAAAAAAAAAA